AACCTGAGAAACAAAGCAAGACTTGATGAGAACCGATGCATGGTGTAAAGCATTATAGAAAGGGAACCTCCCTCTGATATGTGACCCCAACCTGAAAAACAAAGCAAGACTTGATGAGAACCGATGCATGGTGTAAAGCATTATAGAAAGGGAACCTCCCTCTGATAGGTGACCCCACCCAGAAAAACAAACAAGACTCGATGGGAACCGATGCATAGTGTAAGGCGTTAGGAGATGCGAACCTCCCTCTGTTTTGTCACCCCACCCTGGAAAATAAGCATAACGGATACAATCTTCTAATACCGATCTATGTGAGTAAATTTGGACTGAACGCTACGGGAATCCGAAACCTGGAAAATTGAATTTAAGATTCTAAATGCTGGATGGAGTCCAGATTCCAGATTCCAGATTCCAGTTTTTGAGTTCAGTATTCTATCCTTGCATTCCAAACTCACAAGAGCCTGCATTTCCCGTATTCCCTGATTCGGATTTTCTTCAGTAGCACATGGAGTAGCAGGTCACTAAAGTAACAAGGGAAAAACAAGGACACCTACCCGAAATCCAACAGCGTTTACCACTGTCCAAACTGATGGCGGGCTCACCCAGACAAACTGTCCCGACAGCCTTTGTAAGCATGGCAGGTCTGCTGAGGCGTAACAAGGCAATATCGTGACTATACTCCTTTGGTTTGTTGTATTCTGGGTGCATAATGATCTCCTGGACGTTGAAGTCTTGTTCTGTTCCAACGTAACCCTTCCTGTAGTGGGCGCCAAGCCTGGTGAGATTTGTTTAAGAACTTGATGTCAAAATACAATATATTTGATGGGGATTCGCTAGGTTTACATGTAAAATTTTGCTGGTCGTTTTAGATATATTAGTGAGTGCCTATTTTACCCGATTGCAGGGTTTCAATCAGCTGAAAAAATCTCTGAATCTCATTATAATAGTGTTCAACACTGACCACCTTGTGCTGTCAGCCAGAACGAATGCTATCGAAAACTGGCAAATGAGCTGACAAACACTCCGCACGAGAGAGGAAATGACTCTTCCTCTTAATGAGCCTCTGTCAGGACCCAGAAGGATCGAAGAGCAAGCCTCACAGAGGTTTACCACAGGGTTTATCTCTTTATTCATTTTATTTTGGATTCAACAAACCTGACGCTTATTCCATAGGTTGTGACACCTTCAAGGCAATGCGCTGCTGTCAGAACCCAGAATGGATCGATCAGTGAGCCCCCACAGAATTGAGTCCCATAGAATGTCATCAACATAGCCTGCCACGGCCACTCTCCAGGTTGTGCCACTGAGCCCCCCACAATTCGTATCCCTGGTTTTTTGCCGCATTGTGCTGGAGGCTGCGGTACGATGACGCATTTGCCCCATTGACCATCGTTGTCATAGTTACTTGTTGTAGCACACCAGAGACCGCTGAACGTGGATGTGATGCACTGGTCGTATTGCTTCCCTTTGTAGGTGAATGGAAAAACACAGCATTTGTGGTCTTCCGTTTTGACTTTGCACACCACTGCAACCAATGACAAAATATTTAGATATTTAGATAAAATTAGTTCGAGGTAAATATGTAGGTAGTACTGAGATGTTTTATTATTATTATTATTATTATTATTATTATTATTTTGTTTTTTGTTTTTTGTTTTTTGTTTTTTGTTTTTTGTTTTTTGTTTTTTGTTTTAACTGAGTTTATCGCTAGGTATCACCGTGAGTACAGCAGTGGCGCAGCTCAACAGGGTCGAACTGCAAAAGAAATGTGAAGGCACCTCTGGCAGCTCACATGCGGAGACTGAAAATTAAACCCAGGACAGCGCAGACGCGTGAAAGGGTTTACCACACGCCATCCTGCATTACTTTTCTTAATTTGCTCTGTTGTGCGGACCAAAGCATGTCCTTTTTGTAAGTCATTGTTCTTTTTTTCATGAATAAAATAAAAGTTTACAAGCAATAGGCGTACTGGTCTATTGGATCAGCGTGTCTCGGGAGTCCAGAACGTTCTTTGTGAAAAAAAAATTGCGGGAGCGAGCGCGCGCGCAATTTGATTTGTGGCGCGCGCAACACAACATCACGTAAACAATGCATTCTTCATTCAGACCAACCGTTTGTAACATATCTTCGAAAGCTAGGACGCAGACAGACGCGACGAGACATGAAGCGAAAAAACAAAGAGTAAGAACCATTCTGTTCTAGTATCTAATTCTTTCTTACCACAGTTGGGACCATTCGAATAATTTTCATTATATATTGTAAATTGTAATTACGTTCAAACGAAAGCTAGCCATCTTAAAAGTTCTAAAGTACTCTTGTGCTGTTTAAGTTTCCAAAGGGTTCTTGTAAGTTTTACTAACATAATTGTTTTCTTTTAATATCAATGTTTTGTTTACTGCAGACGAAAAAGAATAGAAAGATATAACCGTAAGTAGTTTAAAACAATTCCTTATTCATTTTTAAGATTTTTGTTTAATTAAGATAAAGAAAGCTTGTTCAATTTGTGTTCATTTTAATGTGTGTGCATCCAATAGGCAAAGCAAGACGACCCGCAGAACCTAAAAAAACCCTGAAAGAAAAAACTCATTTGGATTCTTTAACGGGTTCTTCGGAAGATAACGAAAAAGAACAGGAATACGACAGTGATCTGTCCTCGGTAAACGAAACATTGTACTCAGTTAATGTAGTGTGAGTCAAATTATCATTTGAATTAAGAACGATTACATAGCGAAATGTGTGGAATTTTGCATTGCTTTTTGTTTGAAGCCCACGATGAATTTTCTAATTCTTTAAATTCTCTCTTGCCCTATAGGATTATGATGGAGGGCCTGCTCATGGATTTTACAATCAGTGAGTAATATAATTTAAAAAGTACTAAAACGATATATAATTTTTTTTAAATGAATTTGTCATTTTTAACAATGTAATTCGTTCTTCAGAATCTCTAACATGAAATTGAAAAAGGAATTGACAGCAAATAAGGTAATTCTTTTGCAAAAGACCCGTTTTTTGATAGTCGTTGCTTGTTCACTATTGAAAAATGTTTTAGTTGATTCCAGGTCTGAAAGGTGCTCCCTAGTGAAGCTTTGATTACCTTGATAAAGAGTCATATAATATGACTTAACAGTTCCTTATGGAAGGAAAAATATCACTGGAGATGAATCTTAAGTACTTATAAAGAGTGGTGGCCCTGGTGAGGGAAATTACCTAAGATGTCCCTTTATTGAAAGCTATAAGTGGACATCTAGATGGCTCTTTCTGATGAAGGGTGGTACCTATCGAGGAAGGGTACCATAAGAAAACGATTCTTACTAAATTGTATAGGCACAAAATAGAACACAGGTCTAATATTCGGTATCTTGTTTCTTCTTTTTGTTATTCTAGATCAGACTGTTACGCGAAGCCAAGAGATACGATCGTATGATGAACCATCTGATGAGAGAGTAAGCTCATCTTATTTCTTATCTCATAATTGTAGAAAATAATATATTAAAGCCGCGTTCGAATGCTTTCATGTTAATTAGAAGTGTTTTTGGTTATCTCTTTCAGGGTCCAAAGATTGAATGCACTGGTGGTGAGTATTGACATTAATTTAAGAAACGTTGTTATCATCATCACTATGAGATCAGTACATTACTATTATCATTAACGTACCATCATTGTCAATAGCATCTTCACCTTCACCTTCATCACTATCACCCACATTGTCAATCATCATAATCATTATCATCATCACCATCATTATCATCATCATCACTATCATCATCATCATCATCAATGTCATTATCTTCATGTTTATAATTGGCTTCTGTCTATTCTTGCTTCATTGTTTTTAGCGTTCCTTGATGCAAAGAAACAGCAACATGGATCGACCAACGTAAGTAACGTAGTAGTTACCTTCAATGAATCACATTCTCCTTTTCTACCTTTCGTCACTCAACTATCTTATCATAGTAATATATCTTGGTTTTAGAAAAAGACAAAAAGCTGCCAAAAACGAGAAAAAGGAACAAAAGGTGGACTGAATCTATACTTATAATGTAGTTAACAATTCAGAGTGATGTAACGATATTTTGTTTAAGACATTCAAGCAGATTAAAGTTTTTTTAAAGAATCTTTTGCGACTCATTATGTCCCTTTGATTTTTAAATTAACTCCAAACGCCTGGCGTAATTTTCGTACATTAAACTGCTACTGCATTAATGTGAGATACGTGATACCTTTAGAAATATAATTGAATTTACCTAAGACACCAGACATCATGGACCATACTAGGAAATAATGTAGATACAGCGATTTCAAAAATAGGATGCTGCATGTTGCATGTTGCATGTTGCATGTTGCATGTTGCATGTTGCATGTTGCATGTTTTGAACTTTTGCTGATTACATTCACAGCGCCCATAGTGCATTTCGGGCTTGGTATACAGCATGCAACAAAGCCTTCACCACCATTACATATACAACAAACGACACAATACTCAACCTACATATTGATATTTACCGATGAAGGAAAACCAAAAAAAAAAAAAAAATTCGCTAAGCCCAGTATAGAACGAAGAAATTCTACTCACATATGCCACCGAACACGGGTCGCATTGGTCCTTTACGCCCTCATACTTCCCTATACCTATGAAACAAACGTCCAATAATCGTAGCATTTATTAAGCTGGTTTACCTGCATTGGTTATGGTTTGACTGCCGTACACTGACAAATCCTGTTTGTTTAGTTCACCTTTAATCTTCTCAAGTTTCACAGTGAAACGAAGCCACAAAAGACCAAAAATGACTGGAAGCTAAAGACACAAAAAAACAATCGTATGATTAGTTTTGAGATTCGAGATCCACGCAAATAAAACTTGATCCACTTAAGAGACGTTTTTTTCTAGGATTTTTTTAAAATTGTTTATTTTAGGACCATACTTCCAGACATCGAATGCTGAACCGTCGTATGGCAGCGCGAAGCATTTACGGCTACGCCGGAGATTTCGACCCCGACACCGCTATCCCTGGATTTACAGACTGATCAGGAAGCTCGGCCGAAGCCTAAGGGAGAGGTTAGTCGGCCCCTAAACCGTAGATGATTAACCCCTTGCTATGA